ATAGATATATTTATCATGTCTGTGAGGCATGTATTCGCTGAGTTTCAGTTAATTTTTGTGAAGCACTCCTGTTCAAGACGAGACGCCAGAAAGCGCATCATGTTTGTTTTCTTTATTTTATAAAAGCACAACGTTTTGTTGATAGTGTGAGAGTGCACACAAATAACAGTAGACCCTTTACAGTTACGAACGATGTATTACTCTTACCATTATGAACAAAAATGACGGTGTATCCACTGAAAAAAAATGCAAGTGATTGCGCTGGTGCCTCCATGTCCTGCAAAGCGCGCTTCAGCTTCTATTATTGGATATAGCGCACATTTATTTAGGTTTAGCGTTCAAACATTGTTATATGCTTGAACTGTTTTATATCTATAAATTTTATTTTAGGCAAGTCGTGATGATTTGAGAAGGCTAAATTGATCAAACATAGGCTATGATCAACGGTGTATCCACTGAAAAAAAATGCAAGTGATTGCGCTGGTGCCTCCATGTCCTGCAAAGCGCGCTTCAGCTTCTATTATTGGATATAGCGCACATTTATTTAGGTTTAGCGTTCAAACATTGTTATATGCTTGAACTGTTTTATATCTATAAATTTTATTTTAGGCAAGTCGTGATGATTTGAGAAGGCTAAATTGATCAAACATAGGCTCACTGTATGCCGCTGGCTGCTTGGTCGAAAAGCAAAAACTTATATTTAACGAACAAAAAATGCTCCAAACATTTTTCGAAATTAACTAAAAAAAAAAAAAAACAACGAAATATAATAACTTTGCCATTACATACAAAACTGAACTATTTTAATAGCTGAAACAGTAGTATAAGCTGTTTTGGGAGAAGGGGGAAAAAAGACGGGCTCGGGCTGGTAATTCTTATAAGCTGTCGGACACGGGCCGTGCTAGGGCCTGAGTGTCTCTGGCCAGGGCCGGGCTAGGGCCTAAATTTGAGGCCCGTGCAGGGCTATTATTGGCGACATCAGAAATGGATATTATATAATAGATGCTTTTTTTAACATTTTAGCAATTTAAAAAGATTTTTAAAAAGATTTTTTTACACGGCACCCTGGTTGGGCAACACTGCATTAGGCCATATGAGACCAAACGACTACTCGACAACAAAAATATTTGTCGACAATTTTTTATTGTCGACGTTGTCGATAATGTCGATTAATCGTTTCAGCCCTAAATCCCATTGCCTCATTTTTCATTATTATCATCTACTATGTGCCATGCAACGTGTCCGAATAGCAGCAAATTCAGTTGGCATCTTACACACTGGAATAGCCTTCTAGACATTTTTTATTTTTTTTATATAATGTGCTTAATTTCACTTATGGAAGACTGGCAGTACAGGCCCACTGATGCACTGGGCGAGATGCCCGCGTGCAGCTCTGGTTTCAGGGCTGGTCCAGGTGCCCAGCACCAGCTGCCACAAATGCCAGAGCTTGGGGAGTCATTACACAGCTCGCCTCTCCTTCAACAGACAGGTCAACTCTAGGAATTTGTATTTCTGATACATTTATTCAGCATAATGACCACTGAGAACTTACTAAAAACAAGATTTCAAGGAAACGCTACATCTACAGCAACTTGATCTAAATCTGCAGGAAATACAAAATGTTACCGACATGTGCCCAGGTACCAGATAAAACCTGCTATTGTCTTTTCTCTCTTTGCTCAGGGTGCTGAACTTTGCATTAATAGGTATCAGTGCTTTCAGTTGTTGAATGAGTTATTTAAGACCAAGGCTGTTTATAAGAGATTAGCCTGTGCTTTTTATGATGTCACAGGGCCTGTTTAGCCTTTGTTGGCTGTTATCACTCGCTGCCTACGGTCCAGCTCTCACCAAACCTCCTACATGGACCCAGATTGTGTCTAATTTAGAGGACAAGCTTTGGTCACATGAGAGCCGGGAATCTGTTGTTGCGTCAGCGGCCCTGATGAATGATTCCTGGCTGTGCAATTGTTTGGATCCACACATCAGCCGGATCCACACACTCATTCTAGCACACTTAATATACACAAGCTCATATTTCTGCCCAGAGGATTACAGCTAGGAAGGAAACATACAAAAACTTCCACCATGGTGGGACAGGGAACAGCGGCTTCCCAAGGCAATTGGTTGTTTATGACTGCAATCAGCTTTTAGCATTTGTCTGATATATTTTCTATCTTTTGTTTGGCTTTGTTCAGGTTGCAAATTATAATCATCAACCGAAAGTTTATTTTCAGTACCCCTTTCAGTTCCTGCATGGTTGAAAGCAAGTGACACAATAAAACAAATACAATACAACTGTACTTCTGCTGGCACGTGTGCTGTGTACAAATCCTCTGAAAACACTTGACAATGTAGATGGTCACACAGTGCATAGTACATTATGTGAACATAAATAATAAATATTTATATAATTCATAAAAAACTAATCAAATATTTGAATAATATTCATTAAATAATAATATTGTAATGATGAATATTTCTAACAATAAAAAAATAAAAAAACAAATAAATAAATAAATATTAGACCCTTATAAAGGTCTAATATTTTATATGTTTTTTAAAGAAGTCTCAGCAAGACTGCATTTATTTATTCAAAAATAATTTTGTAAAATATTAACAACTTAAAATAATCCTTTAAAATAAATTTTAATATAATTAATCCATGTGACGGCAAAGCTATATTTTATCTAATATATAATCATAATCATAATCATAATCAGCGATTATGAAAACAAACAAACATGGGCCGATTCTTTGAGGGGTTTGCACTTTGCAGATCCTCGGCCAAATACTAGTCACAATTCTATGGATATCAGAGAGCACGAAGAACACAGGAAACTCTTTTTATAAGAACTTTTCTGCCAAATCCACATGAAACACAAATCTAAGTCATTGACAACCAGAGTTCCTGCCATTTATCACTTCAGTGTTAAAAGTTGTGCTGCTTAATATTTTTGTGGAAACACTGATACATTTTTATCTAGATTTTTTTGATAAATAGAATATTCAAAAGAAAAGAATGTATTAAAAATATATTTTTGTAACATTGTAAATGTCTTTACTGTCACTTTTGATAAACTGAATGCATCCTTGCTTAATAAAAAGTATTAATTTCTTAAAAAAAAAACATTATATATATATATTACACACACACCAGAGTTCCTGCCATTTATCACATGCATCTTATGTCAGGCCCAAAACAAGTCCACAGCCTGACTTAATAGTCTGAGTAAATGCTCCGTGCCAAAAAGAGCACTTTATTAGGGTGGGAATGTTTGCTTTTAGATTATCTGACATAGCGTTCCTGGCTTGATATAAATACAAGTAGGAGAAAAATGGACTAAGGCTAGAATCGACTAACAGTCTGAAAAAAACCCACAACTTAAAAATAAAAATACAAAAAATAAAACAGTTATACTGAAAGCCTTCCATGAAGGCACAGTGCCCATGGTCTAAGCATTGTAACTTCACTGTACAGATGTTAACAACATCTAAAATCCTTGGAACAACCCACCCTTACAAAACATGCAAATTATGTAAAAGAAAAAAACTGATTCTTTCGGTTAGCTCTCACTGGTTGCAAAAGCAGCTCAAGTCATAATAAGCAGTCATTTACAAGACACTTTCAAAGCGACACCGGCATAATTGTGCTGGCTTCTAAAATACATTCTTTTGCCAAATTTTATGGCAAAAAGACTTTGCAGAGAAAATCCCAGAATGCAATGAGACAAGCTTGTTGAGAATATTAAACCAGGATGGTGAAAGAGTTGAGAAAACTGTTAATTATAAATTAACTTGTATTGCATTCAGTGCTGAAAAGCATTGATAGAAATGAACTTTAAATATGTTTTAGCTTAGCAAAACAGTAGTAGCTACAAAGAAAACCATATAAACGAGCAATATTTCTTGTTTTAGTCCAGAGGTGTCCAAACCTGCTCCTGGAGGGCCACTGTCCTACGGAGTTTAGCTCCAACCCTAATTAAACACACCTGAACCAGCTAATCAAGGTCTTCTGACTCAATAGAAACTTCAAGTGTGCTGGAGTTTGTCCCACAGTCAAGTTTGAAAATCTCAAAAACAGCACCTACTCACCAATTCCCAAGCCTGTGCAAGTGCAAGTGCCCGTGTCCCAGTCTGTGCCCAGGATGCTCCAGCCCGCCGGCAGAGGCAGATGTCTAAGAGCAAGAGCCAGAGTATCATCCAACCTCTCACACTCCTTCAGGGGGATCTGACACTCGTCCAGAAGTAACGCTCCCTCAGTCTTCCCAACCGCGTTCACTAGGAACTGGGCCATGTCCAGGGCGAGGTCCTGCACGAACTGGAAGCATTCCTCAGCCACATGGTCCACTGAGCCACCGGGCCGGGCCTGGCACAGCGTGACCCGCACGGTTTCACTGCGATCATGAGCTGTTATGAGACAAAAAAAATAAACATTGGACAGAAATATATTATATTGTGTCATGCTTTTGTGATGCTGATGTCCACAAGATTTCCACAACTTTGTCAACAATAAATCAATTATGACTAAACAAACTAGCTATCTATCTCATATCAAACAGGGAGGTCTCCTTTAAATCATCTTCACACTGATTAAAAAAAAAAAAAACAACAACGAAAAAAAGGATCTTGCTTAATATTTTGGCAGCCACACATCAACAGACAAAAAGGAGACTTAAAGGTAGGGCATGTAATTTTTCAAAAACACTTTAGAAAACTGATTCGGGCCGAATAGCAAAACAAACTTGTAGCCAATCAGCAATAAGGGGCGTGTCTACTGGTGATGTGGAGGAGAGAGCTTTCAGTGCATGGGACGGACATTAGCCGAGCTGAGTGACAGAAAGATAGAGATGGCGGATAAAAAACAAAAGAGGAAAACGTCTGCGAAATGATAAGGCAAGAAGTAGGACCCGTGTAAATATCGGATCAGCTTTCCAGCGCTGGAGAGAGTTGCCTGGGTTGCGTACGTATATGTGGGGCGGAGCTATCAAAATAGGGGCACTTTTGGGGTAGGGGCGTGTTTGTTTTGGTGATTTCAAATATCAACATTGGCTACCAGAAATCGCTTACCCTGCCTTTAAGTGCCTATGGTTGAGCGGAGATGGATATCATTACTGAGAAATGTTCCTGCATGAACACAACTCATTTCCATTTCCAAGAGGGAAACAGCCGGAGACAGAGGTGACATACTATAAAACAACATTCTTCTTCACCATGAGGGCTGCCAGGAGGCCTGTCTTGTATCACTAAAGTTATGAGATGTCATTGCGACAACACGCATTGCGAGGGTTGGTGTGCGAGTGCCTTTTCTGTCAATGCAGAAAAAAACCCAATGTGTAAGTCCACACTCACCAGCAGCACATTTGCTTGACCAAAACATCTCAGTTGCACATCCATCTGGGTTCAAAGCATTTGAGCCATTTTTGCCGATAAAGACCTCTTAGCAGCCAAACATTTGGATTCAACCAAAAAAAAAGTATGGACCTCCAGCTGAGAGACAAAGGGTTGAAAGTGTACTCTAGCGGGCTGACAGCGGTGCACCTGAGGCGGACGATAGTGGGGCCATTCTTCATGCTCTCTAATGCATTGCTGAAAAGCTTTCAAGTGCTCAGTCGGAGTAGTGATTACAAAACCGGTGCCAAACATCTGCACTGGATTCCATAACACTGTATCTACTGTGACCCTCTGTGGAAGTGCTCCGGGGATACGGTTTAAATGTATTCCTTTTTTGACTCTAAATACTGCCTTAATTGCAGAAGGGGGGCTGTTGCGTTTTAGTTTTTATTTCTTTGTGAAACAAGATAAGATCACAATGCTACCAGTTCCCCCGCAAAGCAAAAATGCTTCAATAACATCAGTGGTTACAAGATAAATCTTTAGTTAATTACAGTAATGCATTGTGCCTGTTAATGGATGGTTGCCCAGGGTGTTTTGAGTGGTTTATATGTTGTTGTAGTTGGTTGCTAGGGCATCGCTAAGGCTGCTAGGATGTTTTAGGGTGTTGCTAGGTAAATGCTTACTAGTGCTTACATATTGTTCAGGTCCCTACTTTCTCTTTTTGAAAGTTAAAAATAAAAAATGAAATATACATACAAATAAACAAACAAACATAAATAAATAAAACAATCACACAAACAAATGAAAAACAAATACAAAAAGACAAAAGAAAACGGAAAAAGAAACCATCCCCTACTATCCCTCGGAAAAATAAAATAAAATAAAACATGAAACAAAGTATAAAAACTAACTAAAACATCAAACTAACTAAATAAATAAAGAAATAATATGAAAGACAAACAAAAGGACAGAATAAAAACAGAAAATATACTCAATCCAATTACTCCAGTTCTGTTTAACAAGTAATTTAAAAAATAAATAAATAAATAAGGTTAGCTTTTCCCCTCCCACATAATTTTAACTTTACAGTCATAAAAGTTCAACATGTGTCTAGGGTGGGTCTGTATGTGTGTGTAAGAGCTTTTTACTCTTCAGATACTTAAAATGTCACTTGTAATTTATGGTATTGACAACTACTATAATATAGCTTTTGAAAGAATTGTGGTTATGTTATTAACTCCTGTTTTTGGCTGGAAGGTGAACATACAATAAAATAAAGCAAAACAAAACAAAAATAAAATAAATGTAATAAATAATAAACAATTTCTATAGAGCCCTTAGACTTAGTATTTAATTAAATTACTGTTTTGACCAAAATGTTTATTTACAAATAATATGATTTATTTACATATATATTTATTTATATACTACATTGAGGTGCGTAGCCTCAAACCAAGTAGCAACAAGTAAACAAACCAGACAAAAACAAACAAAATACAACAAAAACATTCATTTGGGCTGGAATATCACCCCCAGTCTGTCTGAACAAGCTATTTATAATACACTGTCACCCGACACCAGCAACAAATTGCCAGGCGTGACAAGAAGAAAGTCGACCTTCCGTCTTAGATATCTTCACTTATTTATAGGATGTTTGTTAATGAGAATGAGACCATGAGAGTGAGAGTGAAGGAAGAACCATAAGATTAAAACAAATAAACAAGAGAGAGAGAGAGAGAGGGGCTTGACATAAGTTTGACAGGGCTGTCTAAGCAGAATGACTGTTTATACTATTTAAAACCAAAGTAACAAGCTAGCATTCCCACAATGCATTTACCTAGCTATTATGCTAGGCCACAAAATTTTGTCTGACACACAGGGCCTTCAGAGTGTGACGCAAGCAGTGGGACATCCTAGTGAGAGATGTTTTCATTGGCCAGACTGCAAAAGCCACATGGTGCCCTTGCCAAATGCCAGTCAGCTGCTTTTTTTGGCTGAAGATGATCACAGCCGCGGAGTGATTTGGAGACACGACTGAATCCACATTGTGAGATTAACTCCTGTGCGCTCTAGGTTTGTTTTTACAATTATAAATAAATGAAATACCACTCTAATTCAATTTCATTTTTTGGGGTTATTGTATTTTTTTTACTGTTTCTTATTATTTTGACAAATAACAACAAAAAAAAAACTGCATATCAACAACTGACAGGTGTTAGAGTTGTTAAAAGTGAAAGACAAACTATATATACAAACATTCTTGCCAACAAAAATGACCTTAGGCTCTACTTACATTACCAACATTCTAAACTTGTTAACACACACCCCATGTCCTATTCCTAATGCCGTAGTCGGTGACAACTTGAGAAGGAGGTGAAGGTGTAAAGCAAGGCCACAAACTACATCACAAGAAATCAGTCAGTACAACCGACTTTGCTTCCCTACTGGTGGAATCCCAGGGTGTAGGAAGGGCATTTATGGCCAGGTCATATGACTAACTTGCATGAGAAGCAGTTATGGTGACCCTTTGATCTGAGCGACATGCATAAAGTTTAGGAATCTGACTGCTACGTCCAAAGGCTGTTTAAGGGTAACCAAGCCCACCCTTTGTTGATGATGCATACATAGGCCTCTAGAAATATGTTCATGATGGAAGCTATCTTCATATTAGAAGCCAGGGAGGGGGCGCTAGCGAGCCATGGGTCGATAGGTCGCACTCCTCTACAGCTCGCGCAAAAATAAAAGATAAATTGACATTTTGAAGGACTATATCTGCATAAAAAGTTTAATTTAAACTATAGTTAGTTTAAGTTTGTTACATACTTATTGGTGACAAGATGAAAGTGATTTCAAAGCAACAAACCTCAAGAGGAAAAAAGCAGTGCGAAGCAGGCCTCATTCCACCGAGCTCTCCTGACGACGCTGGGCCGCTGGACGAGGTTTCGCAATGATCGACAGATGCTACTATTCTGGAGGCCATTAACTCGTTACATTCCGATCTACGAGCTACCAAGGTAGAAATATGCCAGACGATCGACACTCGGATTGAAGAAATGGCTTCTACTATAAGAGGGGAAATCTCCGCTCTTAAATCAGAAACACAGGCGGCTATTCAGGCCCTGCAAGCTACTACAGCGCAACATGGCTCTACCCTCGCAGATCTAGAGCAATCGTCCACACATTCATCGGATGCTATATCCAAGCTTCAATCAGAGGTGAAACGCCTATGCTCAGAAGTGAACGCGCTGACAGATAAGTGCATGGATCTAGAGGGACGATCTAGAAGACAAAATGTGCGGATTGTCAGTCTAAAAGAGGGGGCCGAGCGGGGCAAGGAGATGAACACATTTGTTTCTGAGCTTCTGAAAGAGGTGCTGTCCGTGGATGAATACCCACTTGTAGATCGTGCACACAGGGCGCTGCGTACGCGGCCGAATGATACCGACCCGCCGCGTTCACTCATAGTGCGACTCCACTATTTTCGGGACGTGACAACTATCCTCAGGAAAGCTGCAGAACGACGGGACCTAATCTACAATGGCCAAAAGATCCGTATATTTCCGGATTTTACTCCTGAAGTGGCAAAGCGCAGAGCAGCCTTCAATAGAGCAAGAGAATTACTCCGTGACAAGCCAGGGGTGCGGTATGGAACATTATTCCCAGCAAAGTTGAGAGTAACTTTCAATGGCACAGAGACCGTGTTCACTGATGCGAGAAAAGCCGAAGAGTTCGCCAAGCTGCACTTTGGTACTGGCCGAAAGGATGCTGATGGTAGTGGTTGATACTAACAATGGCGCTCTGGGTAATAAATAACAGGACAATGGTTTAATGGTCAGGTTTAAGGACTTTTTTTTCCTTCATTTAAAGGTATGTGCTTCTTCGCAGAGATTACCTTCTAGGTTGTTTAATATTCTGGTGGCTGTTCACACCAGTGTTTTTTGTACTATCACTGATATTCAGCATATTTCTAATAAGTTCAAGTGTTCAAAGTGTTAATTCTGGATTTCAGAATATATGTTATTTGTGGGGCTGTTTTAGG